ACAAATGTTTCTCTTGAAATTAGTGATTCTCAACCGCCGTGTGCTGCGCTATCTTCTTTACTCCTTGTCTCGATAGTAAGGCTGATCAGTCCAACAAGGTCGAAATGGCAGCTGATAAACAAAACGACCTCAAAACCGTCGTTAACTGGGTCAAATGATGGCTTGTTAATTTTAACGCGTCCAAAACTAAAATTCTCTCTGTTAATCATCTGAGGGAGCCCTCTTTGCTTTCCATCATTATGGCTGATGCTAATCTTCAGGAAAGTGAATCATTGCGCCTTCTCGTGCTAATGTTTTCAGCTGGCATGATGTGGAAAGACTGTATTGAATGCATTGCTAGGTCAGCTGCTAAGAAAGTCGGTTCACTGTGCCGGGCGAGACAGTTTTTCTCTCCGTAAACTATCTTGCATATCTATTAGTCTACCATTCACCCAGGCTTAGAATATTGCTGCCATATATGGTCAGGTCCACCTGCTATGTACCTGGAGCTCCTTGATAAGATCCAAAGAATCAGCAATATTATTGGTCCTGATCTGGCGGCTCGGCTTCAGTCACTTGCCCACCACCATAAGGTTGCCTCTGTGCGACTTTTTCTTTTTTTTAAATAAGTACTTTCATGGTAATTGTTTGGATGAGTTATTCGCTATGCTTCCGAGACTGTATGAATTTAAGCGTAATACTAGATTGGCGGCGAGATCTCATCAATTTACAGTTGAGTTGGCGAGATGTCGCCGTAAGTTCTATGCTGACAGTTTCTTTTTATGCACCTCTTGTCTGTGGAACTCTCTTCCGGTTCCATGCTTTCCAGTCAACTTTAATTTGCAAGAGTTTAAATGTAATGTCAATCGCTATCTAATGTCCTCCTGAATGATCTTTGTTCTTTCTACTCATTACTAAAGTTTCTGTTCCTAATTCTTCCACATCCTGCTTGTTAGTGGCTGTACTACCTTGCTTGGAGTGATACCGAAAAACAAAAAAAAACAAAAAAAAGAAGAAAAAGTGTGTCGCGAAAATGTGGAAGTAGTAATGGTACAGCATTGAGTCAGTCGTTATGTGCTGTGCGTGATACACGCTTAGGCGATCATGTAACTTTCGATACATGACTGACGAGGCAGGTTTTTTTCCCGCCGTAGGTTACCATTTCTTTCTGTGGTAGATCAGTTGCCATCCAAGGCTAGAGAACCCAGTCTGTCTTTTTATCTATAGCTGCGGTGGGGGGGGGAGAAGAGGATTCCTACCTTTCTCAAGGGTATTAACACATACGTGAATGTAACGGATTCGACCGGAATTCGAACTCTGCTCTCCGATTCCTCAATCCGAGCCGCTATCCACCGTGCCTCCACAGCGTTAGTATTTGAATAAATGAATAAGTATTAACCTTTTTTTCAATATTAATATTTATTTATTAAAAAAGTATTTTTATTTTTTAATTTAGCTTTTTTAAATTTTTCTTTATTTGAATAAATGAATATTAAACTTTTTTTTTCATATAATTCTATTCAATATTCTTTGTTAAATTCAGATTTTTTACAAAGTTATATTGAATTATGAATTAATAGTTCCAACAAATAGTTGAATAGAAACATTGAAATAAATTTCATATTTGTGTACTTTTTTAAAAATTTAAGCTTTTATTTCATGACATTTAAATTTATTTTATACCCTTTAAAATTTTTACGTAGTGTGCCGTGATATTTTCATTTGCTTCTAGGTGTGCCGTTACTTAAAAAGGTAGAGAAATACTGCTCTAAATATTTACGAATCTATTAAGGATTATATCCTCATGTGATCTTAGCATGTGTACATATGTATATATTATGGGAAAACATTAGAATATACTTATTTGCGGGCAACTTGTTCGCATTTCATGTTTCTATCGTCATGTATAAATAGATATAGTTTCATTTCGTTTCTCACTCACATTTTAAAAATCATTGTAAATTGTTAAAATCTTTATAAGAACATCAATAATGCAGCAATCTTTGGAATAAAACTGGATGCATCGCAAAGAAAAATCCATTTTTATAACTATCTCTAATGCAAACATAGCATACATTTCTACATTACGCATAACCCATGTCTCAATTGAGAAGTCATTCTAATATGACCTTTGCAGGGGAGTTATAACCCTGAATGAATAATTATAAAGCCCCTAACATTTTTATACACAAGTATACCCGTAAAAATGAAAAACAACAAAGTGGGGAAACAACAGTAATACTGAATAAAATTGTGAGTTTGGGGTCAAATGTAGATCAAATATGGATCAGAATCCGACAGAATGAAAAATAAATAAGTAAAGTGTATACAGTCTTAATCGTAGGATTTTTTTTTTTTTTTTTATAGATGTTTGTTTTGAGTGTCCAGATAATCTAGTTGGAAAATACAAGAAATGTCTGGGGTTTTCTTATCTCGAATTTCTGTTCTAAAAGAAAAATGTTAATATTTTTGCCTGAAAAAGGGAAAGGAGATGAAATTTTCGTTGACGTACATGTTAACGACGTGTCAGTGTGAACTGCTTTTATGACACTGAGAATGTCACGCGTGTTAGCTCGACTATTTCTATATATGCTAATCAGAGGAGAAAAATGGAATCGATTCTCATTGATTTAGAATACGGGAATTAATGATAATTACAATTGTTATAATTATTTTTGACACAATAATTAATTTTTATTTATTTTATGGGGTCTTTCATGTAGAGGAGAATGTATATAATTTACATTTATTCCATTCGCTTTTATGGAAAATAGTTTCAGATAATTAACAAAACTATGCATCATATAACATTTCAGCGTTTTTAAGAGCGACAATATCACTTTTCTTAAATCTATCTGGGAATGGTCATGGACTAAAAAGTACAGGATGGAGCGTTAAAAACATTTTTTTTAGTAAATCATTGTAATTTACACGCGCCCTGTTAGTGATAATAACCACAGTAACAAAAAAACAAGCTTACACTACTATTAATACAAAGTTAATTCGATAAATTTGTCGCTTAACGGCGAAAATATATTTTTCATGAATAATTATTTTTCTTGTTGAAGCACCTAAACCTTTGTTTTTCGTTTAATTACATTTGATGGAATATAATCGTGAAAATATCCGATTAATTTCAGTTAATATCTCGGGTTACTACGGGAATTGATCCAGTATAGTGAACTTAATGTGATGCGTCCCGTCCAATGATCCAGAAGCAACGTCTGATAGGCTAAACTTGCTAACCCCTGACCCCATAGCAAAACACCAAAAAAGTGCTTTTTATTAAGCTTAGTCTGATAGAAGGTTAAAAGTGTAGTTTTCTAGAGCATCAAACTCCATACGTTTTTAACTGACTACGAAACTAGTTCACACTACGCCCTAATCATAAAAAACAAGAGGAAATTTCCAAAGTATTAGGGTGTTGGTAAAGTAATTACGTTTTACCAAAAAAAGATATAACGACAATTTATTTATTAAAAATATACTCATTTTCATTTTCAACGATTTCAGCCCGACAGGAAAGCAAATTTTTGATTCTTGGCTTAAAGAAATTTGTGGTTTATCCCTGGAAAAATTTGAAAATGTCATTGTTTCTGAATTTTCTGCTACTTCAGTATCTGTTTATATTTGTGAGATGAGGTATTATGTACACTATTTACATTGCTCGGGCTATCATCCTTGTTGCTATATTTATCACAACGCTTCGGCCGTTGTACGTTCCGGCCTTCTCAAGTGGTTGCTTTTTATTTTATTTCGCTCGCTCGGGTAGACTGTTCCACGTGCCATGTCTAATAGATGTCAGTTATCAGTTACCTCCTGCTAATTCCCCTCTCCAAGTTCTCCAGCCCCAGATATTGAACTCACACTCTTTGGGTCCTGTCACTGGATCTAACTAACGCCTTTATCCACTGTGCCATGTGTCCTTAAGGACATCTATATATGAATTTCTGGGTATTATAAACCTAATGTATTCAGTAACTTTTTTTTTACCAGAGCTCATATTGCAATTTTTGTTGTTATTATTGCTTTTCTCTGGCACTCCTTTTACTGGTTCCCATATTGTATTCATTTCTATGCTTGGTCGGCTCAGGAGATTTTTGTGGCGTAGCATATGTGCTGATTCCTTAAGTTTATGAATTTTCCAATGATCTTCTATGTCTATGATTTCAACCTGATCCCACAGAGGGCAGTGATTTTCCATTTTCTTTCTATATGTGGTCAGCCACGCCTGATTTTTCCACTTCCCCTCGTGTTACAGTTTTTTGGTATTCTTGAAGCCTTACCTTAAGGGGACGACCTGTTTCGCTTTTATATTTCTTTCCGCAGCTGCACGGTATGGTGTACACACAGTCTTTAGTCATGTTCTGGGGGGGGGTCTTAAACTGCGAAGTGTCGTCCAGCTTTGGAAGGTTGTCCTGATGTTATATGGACCGCAGATCCTTTCTATTTTCTCCAATAACCCCTTCACATCAGGCAGGTAGACTGTTTTCTGAGTGTTGTTGTCCTCCTCTTGTCCCCACCTATCCCAGTTTATTGGGGCTGCTGCCATGTACCCAGGATAGTTGTTACGTTGCAGGGTACTGTTTGTACTGACGAATTCTTTATCTAATGTCTAGTTCGTAATGGATGACACTTTTCATATTCCATCAGATACAAAGTAAATACTTCTGTGGATGGAGTCCTGATTTTGGTGTTGGCTCTGGTTTCTCATTTTGTGATAACCAGTTTTTTCGTTTTCTGTTGACATGCAAAACCCATTTTTCATCACCTGTAACAATGTGATGCAAAAATGAAAGACCGCTACAGATGATGGATCGTTGTTCTCCGTTTTCAAGCGAAAGCTCATGAGGAACAGAAATTCCCTATTTGCAAGTTTTCACAATTCACTTGAGATGTTTGTGAAGAGTTGAACATGTTGCATTAAGTTTTTGAACGAAATATCTGGTCCTTTGACGTTGTTCCAATTCAACAGCCTCTTGCAAAAAAAAGTTTTTCATTTAGGGTAGTTGATACAAAATTCATGAAGGTGAAATATGTGACATAGAGAGAGAGAGAGAGAGAGAGAGAGACGAGGTGGATTTAGTAATCAACAGTGCTAAAGAATTAGGATGAAAGTGCTAATTACTTGGGTAGAAGGGATTCCGGAGTAATTCCAGAAATAAGTTTATTTTTTTTTCTCTTGTTATTATTTTTCTCTTAATAATTCTTTCTGTGGTTGAGTTATTACTTAATTACATGTAATAATTCCAAAGTGATTAAGAGACGGATTCGTTAAAGTAAAGTTTGTGATAAATGGTCTGGGTGGTCTGAATAGCGGAATTCAACCAGACGAGATAAGTGGTTTTGGCAAAATTTAAGTATACGTTGTCTGCGGAAGATCCAGCAGGAGGTCCGAATACGATTTTAGTACCTCTTGAAAACTGGTTGCCCGCGGAGATCCGGAAATTAGGCGGAAACACATGGTGGTCCAGGCGATTTGCATATTAAAATTCGGGAGCGGTGCCTAAAGATGGTTTAGCTCCGCCTCTCTCTATATAAGCTGCCCGCACGCTAGAGTTAGTCAGATGAGTTCGGAGTTCGGAGATCAGAACGCGGAAGAGACGGCTTGTTGGAATTTGATGGTCTGGTCTGTTGGTTGCCCTGTGTCAAGAAGACCGATCCGAACCAAGAGATCGAAATAGAACCCATACGAATCCAGATAACTTCGTCAACAAGGCTGCGAGAAAGCAGACTGCTATAACGTAGGGTACAGACGAAGATCCACGAATTACTTCCCTTAGATCAGCCGAAATTGTTTAAGCAGAAATTTTCCTACTCTCTCTCTGTGACTTTCCGACCCAAAAGAGTGAATCTCGTTACGACATTTTGTACTCGTGTAAATTCTTCGGTAGAGACATAAAAAAACAGTGGCCTAAATAGGGACCTTTGTACAGGAAGAGGAGTTGCGTTTTTTTTCTTTTTCATGTGTTTGCGTCTACGACAAGAAAATTTTGCTGCATGAATAGTGATTTCCTTTCAGTGAAATACCCAGCCATTTCCTCCCCTTCCCACCGAATCGTTCTGGGGAGATCGATACACTGCTGTTCGGATCAAGAATTCACAACGTGGCGAATAGTGGTGGTTCGTTCAGTTCACCGGAGGAAGATCGGGTGGATTTTTTTTTCGGCCAGAACCACCGGGGAGACAGGACAGAACTGCAACCGGCAGGGTTATTACGTTAGAATTGGTGCCGTGACCAGGATTCCGACCCGTGGATTTGCTAGTGACTCGGAGAGAGAAAAGCGCAATTCCCTGTACAAAAAATAAAGGACTGAAAGCTGAGTACTACCAAAAAGACTGTAGTTACAAACTATCGGTCGGTAATGCTCGGGAAAAGAAAAGAAAAAAAAGAGAGAGAGAGAGAGGGAGCGGAAGAAGAGAGAACAAGAAAACGAAGAGCAGAGAATGGTAAGTCACCTTTTTGGCCCTCGGTTCGCTTGTCGCACGCAAGTCTGCCAGAGTATAGTTGTTGTGTTCGATTTCTTCAACATTGCATGCTGTTGAAGTGTCGATAGTGTGTGAGGCGAGTTTTCCTTTTCTGTTGTCTCTTGTTGAATAGGGGGAAGGTAATAGTGATCGGGCGTTAGAATGAGTGTAGCAGGTTCGGATATCACAGACGACCAGGGAGAAGCGGGAGTTCCCGAAATTACAATGGGGTTCCGCAGACTGATGGGAGGCATGTGACTGCCCTCGTTTAGGGGCGACACAACAGAACTGCAGGAATGGATACTGTCGATCCAAAAGAATCCAAAAGTCGTGTATGGCTTGTCGGGCCAGGAGATGGTCCTACTGGCATACGAAGCAGCGGCCGGTCCAGTGTCCAAATATGTCGGAGGGCTATATAGGGAGAACCCTGCCCTAATTTGGACAGAGCTGAAGTCTGCCGTGGTCCGACAGTACGCCAGTGAGCTCACGGCCATTGAGGCAGTTAGGAAGTTGTTCAGACTCCGACAGGGAGATAAGGAAGCCATGGAGGATCTGGGAGAAAGAATAGCGGGCTTAGCGGCACTGGCTTTCCCGGAGCTGGCGACCCGAAACAGTGGTCCGATACAGGCCCTGTTAGCCGACGTATATGTGGATGCGTTGAGCGATAGGGAGCTGCGGGATGACGTCCTGAAGGAAGGACCGAGCACCCTGGCCACGGCCATTGAAGTAGCTCGCAACAGTGAACGACTTTGGGACAGAATAAGGGGAAATATAACCAGAGACCCCAGGGGGACCAAGATAATGAAAAGGAAGGAGCAGGTTCGGGCACGGGACCCGGAAGAAGAAGTAGAGGAAAATTGGGAATTGGAGAAAAACGAGAATGGGACTTGCGGTATGGATTCTATAAATCCACGCCAGGCCGGTATGGGCTAGTGTGCTGGACGTGTAAATACGCTGGGCACAGGACTCGGGACTGTCCAATCAATTGGGGAGGAGACCCCAGGTTTCTGGGACCCAATTGTACGACCTGTGTTGAATACGGGCACAAAGCTCGGTGGTGTACGGCGGCAGGGGACCGTAAATTAGGCATTAAGCGAACTAACGCGCTGTTACCAGTCCGAGCAAGACCTCTGAAATGTTAGACGTGTGGAGTGGTTGGTCATTTTTCAGCCGATTGTCAGCGGAGAAGATGCTGGCATTCTGGGGGCGCAGGCCACGTGAGGCGAGCCTGTCCCCACAGGGAGGGAGTCCCCCAGGACGAACCGGCCGGGATAGGAATGAAATGGAGGGACAGAGGGATAGAGCGGAAGGGCGCTATCATCCAAACCCCATCCCAGCCAGAAGGGCCCCCAGATGAGAAATGGGACCCCGAAGAAATAAGGAACCCCATTTCTGCGCCACGCCTCTCGGTGGTCCAGAAGGGAGGCGAATAGGAAAGATGGAAGGGAAGCCCGAGTGTACCATCTGCTGAAGGAGGAACCGGATCTCACCTGGAATGTCTTGCTGGGAGGCAGGAAGGTTAGGGCCCTGGTTGATACTTGAGCATCAGTATCACTGGTTAGTTCGAGGACCTACAGACAGTTAGGGAGATGGGGAAAGTTGAGGCCAGTAGATTTATCCATAAACCAAGCCGATAGCAGTAAGATGAGGATAGAGGGCATGACATGGCTGCCGTTTCAATTAGCAAGAACTGTACGGGGGTATCATGAAAGTGTATGTGGCACCTGACTTGTGGGGCGAGTTGATTCTGGGGAGTGACTGGCTTAAACAGCACAAGGCCCAGATCCGTTTCGACCCATCCACCCTGACCTTGGACGGGGTAGAGATACCGCTAGAAGACAATTATGAGCAACTACCTGTAGTAGCCCAGGCAGATATAAAGTTGCCTCCTAGAACCACTGTATCTGGGGAAGGCGAAATTATAGTAGAGGGAGCCCTGAACGACGGCTTGTATCAGGTAACCCCTACGGACGGGTATGATAATAAGGAGGGAGAAGTGACAGTGTGTAGTTCATTAATGAAAGGATCAAGGACCGTCCCCCTGCTTCTGACTAATTCGGCTAATAAAACCGTCAGAATAAAGCGAGGAGAAGAGTTAGCACGGGCGTGCCCCGTAAGGGAAGTCGAACAGGTCAGGATAAGAAACGAAGATAGGTCTCGGGACAAGACAGAGATCAGTGAATTAAGGGACGAGGACATAACAGTCCCTGAATGTTATAGAAGAGAATTAAGGGGTTTGCTAAGTAGAAACCGGGAGGTAATAGCAATGACAGATAACGAGCTAAGACAGACAGAGACAGTGGAGATGAGGATAGACACCGGTGACAACCCACCTATCAAATTAAGGCCATATAGAACCCCAATCCACAAAAGGAAATTAGTAGAGGAGGCAGTGAATGAGATGATGGACTCGGTGATAATTGAGAGATCCAAATCTCTCTGGAGCTTCCCTATCGTGATAGATGAAAAGAAAGGTGGAGGGCACAGGTTTTGTGTGGATTTTCGCCAGCTGAACGCGATTGAAAAACCGCTAGCAGTGCCCCTCCTCCTGATTGATGATATTTTGGCTCTCCTAGGGAAATCTAAGTGTTTTTCTACCTTGGATTTGAGATCGGGTTATTGGCAGGTGGCCCTGAACAAGGAGGACCAAGAAAAGACCGCGTTCACCTGTCACATGGGTCTTTTCAATTTTAGGGTTATGCCGTTTGGGTTGGCAAATCCCCCGGGTGTGTTTAATCAGCTCATGTCCATAGTGTTGAATGGCATGGAGACATTTGCCGTGGCATATCTAGACGATATCATGGTGCTTTCAAAATCGCCTGAGGAGCATTTTGACCACCTGCAGCGGGTGTTCGACCGCCTATGGAGGCATGGCTTGAAGCTGAAGCTGTCAAAATGTCAGTTTTTAAGAGAGAAGACAAAATACCTAGGGTTCGTGATAAATAAGGACGGGATAAAGACCGACCTAGATAAGGTAGAGATAATAAGGGCCATGTCCGCGCCGAAAACTGTAAGGGAGATTAGGGGTTTTATAGAAGCCATAGGATATTATAGGAGGTTCATACCCGCATTTAGTCGGTTGGCGGGTCCTCTGATAGCCCTGACGAAGAAATACGCCAGGTTTAGGTGGACAGAGGATTGCCAGCGTGCATTTGAGGCTTTAAAGGACCAGCTGACTGCAGTGCCCTTGTTAGCGTACCCAGACTTAGGTAAGCCCATGGTGCTGTACACTGATGCTAGTGGCAGTTCCTTCAGTTCACCGGAGGAAGATCGGGTGGATTTCTTTTTCGGCCAGAACCACCGGGGAGACAGGACAGAACTGAAACAGACAGGGTTATTACGTTAGAAATACGCAATTAATTTCCGAACACATTTATCAATAATCATTTCTCCTCTTTTAAAAACTCAAAAAATTAAAATTCATTCTGTTAATGTTTATACGACATAGTTGAGGATAATTGAGATAATCTCAACTAATCTGCAATGTCCTAATACACTAGTTATTATTGCTACAACCCTGACCCTTATGTTCATGATTTAACAGGCTTCTTTTTCTCCTTGTTTATAGATATTTTATTTTTAGTAGCAAAACACCCTCATTCCCTCCGTATTCCATTGGTGAGAAGTCAGTTCCACGCGAACAGCTTCTTCCCGTGAACAACTGCTCTGTGTAACCTACTCCCAAAAAGATGTTTCCCCGTTCACTACAACCATAACCTGTTCATGGTTAGGGTTAACCGTTATTTTCCCCTCCTATCTGCACAAATTTCCTCCTAATGCAACTCTCTACCACGAGTGGCTCCCAGACCTCGTTAAGGATGAACCTTACTGTAAACACACAAACACAATAATTTCTATTTCTCTTTTAAATTATCCTTTTTCTTTTTTAACTTTGACTTTTAGTTTTCTTCATTCGCTAACAAAAATAAAAATAATAAAGTTCACTATTATTACATATAATATTACAATTATTTTTATCAATGCCAAAAATACATGTTGAAATAATATTCTTGGTTCGATTAGGGTCTCATGGAAATGAAATTCTTATTCAAAGACTGGCTGTACTGTTTTTTATGTTGAGGATTTAGGAAGTTGGTTTGTTCAGCCTCGGATTTCATTCAGAGGGTAAGACGTCCAATTAGTGTTTCAGAAAGTTAAATAAATAAAAAGTAAATTGAAAAACCAGAAACCTTTTAATATTAATGTCACCTTTAAATTTTCTTTCAAAAGAAATAAACATAATTTGATATATTTTCCTAATATTACTAAAAAAAACAACCTTATCTTATTGACGGCTTACATGTTCAACTAGGGAGCGGTTGAATATTAACATTGTTTTTACTTTTTTAAGTTTACAGTGAGAAATAGGAGGAAACTCCATCTCGCTTCAATCTGAAATGTTATCGTGCACATGTGTAAGATAAAATTAGCGATTAGCTCCCCTGACTAACAAGTCGAACAGGGATTTGTTAACATTATTAAAATTCTTAGTTGCATATCACAAGTTAAACTGAAGTTGTCAAGAAGTAATTACATTTGTATGTTTATAAATGACACTAGATAAAATGAAAGGCAAAAAGAATGATAAAAAAGACCATAGAAGTTCTTTAATGAACGCAAGATCTGGTGTTTATTTAGACGTCGAGTTCTTAAATTTGGGGTTGATGAAACCCTTCAGGAGTTCATGAATTTGTTAGCGGGGTATCGTGAATTTGACGTATAAAGATATTCTCAAATTTATTTTCTTTCATTGGAATAAAATAAAATAAAATGTCACAATTTCTTTGCAGTTGACGTTCGAGATGTCTATTTTTATATCAAGTAGTATCGAGTGAAAAGATCTTGCTTTTAAAAGAAATTTTACGATTAAATTCTGTATATATCAGTAAATTGTTTACAAAAACCCGCAAAGAAATAATAATAATAAAAAACAGCAACAAAAAAAAAAAAAAAAAAGAAAAAAAGGAAAAGAAAAAAAGAAAGAAAGACAAGGAGAAAGACATACATGTAACATTCAAAATAGTAGATAATGGATCCAACGGAAGTGATGTCATGAACTTGGTTAAAAAGAAAAATCTTAAAAGTGAATCAGCTGAAGTGAGTCGATGATCACCATTTAGAAAATGATGAAGTCAACATTGAAGGAAGATACAGTTAAAATTACGAGCATCCAATTTAGATAAATTTTGAAATGAATTTTTTTTTCTCTACAATGAATAACTGTATTCTTTTACGTCTCTCCACAACTTCCTGTCTGTTGTAGCTCTGAGCAACTTCTGACTCCTTAGGCTGGGTGTTCGCTGTTACTTCATTCCTCTGCTGCTTTCAGCATGTGCCGTGAGTGTTAAATTCTCCAGGCCATCCTTCATTATTAGTCCCAGAAATTTAAACTTCCGTCATTTTTAAACATTTGCTTTTTTGTTTCCATTTTCCTTACAACTTCTTCATTGCTCACATATTCTGCCTATGCATTCTTCTGTAGAACCACATCTCTATCGCTTCGAGTCTCTTCTTCATCTGTAAGGAAATTATAGGAGGATGGATATGATATAGCAGTTTAACACTCTTTTCTTTTTTTTTCTAAGGAAATATTGCTACTCATTAATATTCTTATTTTGTTTGGTTTCCGGAAGGCATCTTTCGCTATTCCAACATTATTGTTGCATAAAGTAAATAGTGAACGTGTGCTCACATTAGGCGATCCAACTGTATGATATATATATATATATATATATATATAGCCATGTTGGTTGTTTTTAATCAAAGTTATTTAGATAAATACTTGCTGCCTAAGTATACGTATATATATATATATATATATATATATATATATATATATATATATATATATATATGGAAGAGGTTACAGCTGTTCCAACGAAAGAAAAGTGTATATTTTAAAAAGAGAGAAAACGTAAAACGGTTGTAATGTGGATTTTTTTTTAATATTATATTTTATTTTCCATAATTTTACTACACGCATTTCCGGTCCTGCAACCTTCTTCAGGCAAAGAGTGAATGTTTGCACATATTATTAAAATGAATTAACTTTTCTTATGGTTTTCGAAGTTAAACATTCCCTTGTTCTGGGTAGTAGTAACACAAAGGTCTTTCTTTGACTGCTGGTAAGAAAGTTCTTCTGCTTAAAGGGTAATAAAACAATTAAGATTGGTCCGAGAAAGGGTGTGGAAAGATGTCTGTATTCTTATTTTTTAATGACCTCTGTATGTTCTTAGACCTATTTCCATTTTTGTGTATTGTGTGTGCGTTTTTCCTAGTAAGTGTATGCATATTTCCTCTCCATGCATACATATTTTCTTATAAGGAATTAGCGCGCACACACACACACACACACACACACACACACACACACACACACATATATATATA